GATTCTTTTCCTCAGAAGTTCAATGTGAAAATCCTGGTTCTCCTCTGCACGGTTATGCCCAAGGTACAGGTCCTTATAAAGCTGGAGACGTGGTTCAATTCAACTGCAATCCTGAATTCATGATGCAAGGACAACCTATAATAGCCTGTCAAGAAAGTGGAAGATGGTCAGGTCCGGTACCGCAATGCGTCCAGGCTTGTTCATATCCAGGAACTGCTATCAGTGGAAGGATGTCTTCAGTGAAATTTTATTACAGGATAGGTAAATACTTATTTGTTTTGCACCTATTTATATTTTTAGTAATATTTATTTCCTTAGGTGAAACTGTTACCTTTACCTGCGATCCTGGTTTGCAATTGAGAGGTGCCAGGATGTTGAGATGTTTGAGGAATGGTAAATGGTCGAATGCAATACCAACTTGTGCACCTCCTGATCAAAAGGAAAATTAAATGGTTTGGTCAATAAGTAATTAGCGTAAGTAGATAAAGAAATCAATATAATTAGTTTTGTACAGGTATTTATCATAATTCATTAGGCGATAATTGATAGTTCGGTTCTTCTATAAGTTACACAGCTTGATCAAAATTTTAGTAGACTCCACAAACAAATAGATGACCACATTTGTTTTTAATGTAGGTTTTTTTAAATAAGTTTCCTTGATCTTGCTGTGCTAATCAATATATATTTTGTCGTCGATTCTACTAAAAATCATCGCAAAATTATATCGTACAATTGATATTTTTCTATTTAGGGAACAGAAAATGACAGTAGATTTTTATCGAGACTAATATTTAGCTATATAAAGTTTTTTATTTGTTTAAAATAGGTATAAGACCTGAGTTTAAAATTTAGATTCTATTTAATAAAATCGAAGTTTTGCATAAGTAATTTATTAGAATTTTAAAATATAGATTTTAGATTATTTATCGAAATGAGCAATAATGGAGTATTAGTATAAGGTAACGCACAATAATCGAATTGTAGCACTTTACGAAAGACATGATATTATCTAAGATTTTTTATTAAATATTTATTCAAGGAAATAAATAGTTTAGTTAGATGCTAATTATCTTATGAAATACTAAATTTGGTTTTAGGATAATTTTGAGTATTATACTCGGTTTATGTAATGGAATTTTTTACATTCGTTTATTCATTTTTGATGCATGAAAATATAGTACAGGTAAATTTGAATATATGAATTGGATACTAATAAATCTTTATGTTAACGCCTACATTAACACTATTATTCGAACTGTTCTCTTAATTAAGATAAAATCTTAATTGCTTTTGAAGATATGTGAAAGAGAAGATACTAATAAGATGAATATATAAGATTTTTTCACATAATGAATCTATTATAACATAATCTCTAAACGCTACATGAATCTCACACTTCGCTTTCGCTTTTTTAAATAAAATTATTACCGACACTAAAATGATAAAGGTTGATTAATAAAAAAATCTATTTATTTAAAGTTCTACAAAATTTTCAATTCCTCGACATATTTTTGCATATGTACATAAAATGTAAATTGATCTTTGTTTCCAAACTTTTAAAAAATATACCTAGTCATGATTTAGTCAAATTTGAATGATAATTAGATGAATGAATCTATTTTTGGGAACTAGACAAAGATCAAAATATATTTAAGTGTAAAAATTCCAGTTTTACTAAATAAAATTCAATGTGCTCACTTGTACATATCATAGTGTAGCATCATATTTCTAATAAATCTAAAATGCTTTGCAAATTTTCACTTTCTCCTCTAAAATTAAATAGTGAGCTCATATCAAATATAATCCTTCTTGCACATATTCTAATATATGTCTAGATCTTTATAGATACTACCAGAAAATATTATCAAATTATGTATAATATTGAAAATATAATGTAAAAGTATTTTTAAACGTTTTGTTATATATTTTTTAATCATAAGAAAGTAGAAATATTAAGATACTATATTGCTCAATTAAAACTTCATTTATTAATTTGTTATAGATACATATTAATATATAATATTTTATTTATCGAACCAAAGATTAATTGAACAACTATAAAATAGATTGCTCAAACTTCTGAACTATTTTTCCATAAGTTGTTGTCTAATGATATTTCTCGCTTGTTAAAAAATAATTATAAGATATGATATAACTAAAATAAAGATATAAATTGTTTAAAACAATAATGCAAATATTATAAGAAAGTAATTGCTTATTTTTAAAGAAAATGTATATTACCGATAGAAGTATTTATCGATTCACAAAAAAGCTGTTATATTTTTATTAGATTGTGTAATTTACGATTTTCTCTGTATAGCAATAATGCAATCGAAATATATTTATCTTTTTCTTCCAACTATTTGTTATAAATAATCATTTTATCTATAAATCAATTTATATTTATCCAAGATAATCGACGAGTGGCAGCAAAAGTGTTGGATTTGTTTGTATATGATATGAGGATTTAGATCCAATCACATAACTATTTGCATTTTACATTTTTATTTGTTTTATCACTTTTACTATATTGTTATTGTTCTCTTATATAAAGGAGTTTAATGTTTTTGTTGGGATGATCGGAGCAATCATAGTTAGCAGTGAAGCACATAGTAACAAATTGTAAAAAAATGAAAATCAATTTCCAATACAATTCTTAATAATATAAAAAACTTTTGAAACTTGTAAATTTTAGCCTGCTTAATTTGGAACAAGACCATCTATAAGCTGCACTTGATATATAGGGTAATAAACTTTTTTAGTTTTTTTTTGTACAGCAAAACTATGAGTTCCATGAGTTATTGTGTAATTCCTTAAATTAGTGATAAGTAATAGCAACCCAGTGGTTGTCCATTACATTAGAATTCAAGAGTTCTATGAGCTGTTGTGATGATAATTCTTAACTATGTGGCTTTGAAAACCGATTGTCTGTGTTAGATTTCCTCCAAGTACCCAGGACCACAGGATACTATATTTAACTCCTATGTTTGTGGTGTGCTTTATCAATTTTTGGACTAGTTTTTATTATGTTAATAAATATTTGTGCTTCAATGATTTATCATTTCTATGTGTTCTACAAACCGCAGTTGTTGGTGAGAAAAAGACGATGCAACTACTGACAACACGTAAGAAAATAAATTATAATATAAGATGGCACTGATTGCCTACGCTTGACTGATCTGCGCATATATTGCAATCGACGATGAAAAAATCTAGGAAAATTATAGACCATCATTTTATTCTTCATTGATTTTTATACTTATAATACCACTCATATTTATGCACTATATTGAAACCATGATCATTGGTGTTATAATGATGCTATAAAATAATACCAGATAATAATTTATTGATGTTGATAAAGATTTATGTCAGGATGCTGACTTGTTAGTTTTCTTTAAAATTATCTTCACTCTACTTCTACCTATATCTGGTCTTTTACCTTTACCTATACTCTACCTGTTCGGGCGTATTTTTGTTTTATTATATTGGCCATGAAAGTGACAACCTTCACGGCAAACACTCCGCTACCTCCTCCACCAAGGGTAGCAACCATTCCGTGTAAAGCTTAAGGCCCTGAAGGTTGTCATCTTCATGGCCAATATAATAAAACGAAAATACGTCTAAACACTACCTCTGCCTCTACCTGGCCTTTACCTTTACTCTACTTCTACCTCTACCTGGTCCTTTTCACCTTATATATGTATATATATATATATATATATACATATATATTTATATTTATAATTATATTTCGGATACAAGATTAAATTTAGTAATTAGAGAAAATAAATGATCTTAATTGAATTAATTTCAGTAAAATACAACGTTAAGCCTAACATTAGTATTATGTAATGCAATTACTTGAAGAAAAAAAGTTATGATATTGAGATAGTTTATTTAAGGTTTGTAAATCTTGAGATTGATCACGTTTTGATGCAAAATTTAAATATATATATATATATATATATATATACGAGTATATATATATATATATATATATATATATATATATATATACATTAGAGCGGGTCGATTTATATGGAACAAAAAAGTCGCTCAAGCACATATGATTTCCGGATACTAGGGATCAAAATAAGATACTTTGCTGAAGAAACTATACCTCTAAAATGAATTCTTATGCCCCGTGCAAAGAACCAAAAATAAGGGTTGAAATTTGAAAATTCTCATTTTGACCCATTTAGAGTGCCCAAATTGCGTCTAAATGTATGACCGACCCCCACAAACTTTGGGAGGCCGATTTACCCATGCTCCTGGTTCAACCCCAGGGACCTTCCCGGAGCCTTTTTTCAACATTTAACCCTTATTTTTGGGTTAAGTGGGACATTAGAATTCATTTTAGAGGTATAGTTTCTTCAGCAAAGTATCTTATTTTGATCCCTAGTATCCGAAAATCATATGCGTCTAAGTGACCTTTAAATCGACCCGCCCTAATTAAAAAAATAATTTAAAAAATGCTCTAAATTTAAATAAAATTGGCAATAAGAATATAATTGGGTTAATACAAAGATGAGTCTAGTCAGATAGCTGTAATAAATCTAGTTGAAAAAATGTAGTGTATGAATATAAATATATTTGCAGATGGCATAGCTGAGGATTAGAATCTCGATTTTGAATTTAAATTATTGCAAAATATTTTTCCATCTACCTGAAGGACTTGTGTGACATTTCAACATTTAGAATCTAAATATCATGTCTATGCGATTGAAAAATGTAATAACATATTAAAAATAACTTACGGGTCTTGAAAGATGTACTTTTTCTATTTATTGCACTTTTAAACAAAACCAAATAACGAGTAAAATGAAGAATAAATTTAACACTTTTAAATGTCAACTAACTTTATTTTTTACAAAAAACACTGTGTCAATATTTTGAATATGACAGTTGGCAACAGGTCAAAATAGCGACCCCTTCATGTCAATCGGTAACAGTCGGTCAAGATCGGTCAAGATGGCTGTCACTTTCAGTGCGTGCATGGACTGAAAATGTTGACATTTATAAATGTTTAGTGTTAAAAATCGTATAAGAATTAATTAAAAAAGCTTTGTTGTGAGTTCTTGTAAATATATGTAATTCGATCAAGATTTGTCATTTCCGAAATATCATTGCTGTAAGTTTTTCCGAGTGAGTCAACCTGTTCGAATTACCTGACAGAGGTAGGGCGACATGCCGAAACAATACAAAGCCATGCGGCTTACGAATCAGTATTGCTCGGGCAGTGATAAGGTACGGACGGTATCGTACGTAAAAAAAATTATAATAACGATAGTAATATATATATTACATCTTAATACTTAAGTTCATTAATATTTCACTAGCATTTAAATATTTTTACCATTATGATCTACAAATTTTACTAGTGATTCTATTTATTTTTTATCCTAACTGTTGTTTTATCTTCGAACTGATAAGGTTTAAAAGTGTATTATTCTGCGCATGAGAATATTCGATTTACACGGTAGAAACTGATTATTGTTAAGTGTTTTATTTTTAAGTGAACATTGAAATATTGTAGTGTCCAAGGAATGCAATTCGTGGATTTTTAATGCTGGTCATTAGGAAATTTATTTGGAAGTGATTATAAAAGTTGTGCAATATGATGGATGATTTATCTTCGTATCCACAATTTATAAGGGTAAGTGAGATAAAGAAAATTTATCAGTTGTATTAAATATACATATATATATATATATATATATATATATATATATATATGCATATAAATTTATAAATATATTTGTATATAAATTTATAAATATATATGTGTATAAATATAAATATATTTTTTCATACATTTTGACGTTTATTTATTTATTAATATATTTTGACGTTTCTATATTTATACGTTTCGCACTTCACGTGTGTCATCATTCGGCAGGTAAAAAACATAAAAACATAAAAATGATTAAAACACATAATCGTTGTCACATAATTACAACATTTTTTTTTAATTTTTAAATAATGAACAATATATAAAAAGATCTTAATGAATTTTACGTATTTTAATATAATAAATGTACTAAAAATTTTTGTTACCATTATTTTTATATTTTATTAAATTTTTCTCCTGCTGAAGATGACACCTGTCAAATGTCAAAACGTATAATCAATTTGACGTAAATAATTTAAAATTTGAAATTTAAACTTTCAAATATATTTGGGAAAAATTTAATGACTGTCGATTATTGAGATTGTTTTAATTATTTTAGGTACCACGATAAGGTACTAACATATATATATATATATATATATATATATATATTTATTTATGTTTATATATAGAACTAAATAATTTTGCTTAGGGGAGGTCTTTAATTAGAGAAAATACACATTTTAGGACCTTGATTTTCCCTTCTAGTATTTGCTAGTTTATTTCTTACTTTACATTCCATTATATAATAAATTACTTGCACTTAGAAGCATTTAATAGATTATTTATAATTATGTTATCTTATTTGTGGCATTTCAATATAAATAATCATCATTTTTATCGATGCAGTTATTTTTATCATTCATTGATTAGTATCCATATAATGTAATACATTACATGAAAAATTCAGTAAAAATTTAATCGTAATTAAATCTTTTGTAAACAATTAGATTCCGATACAAATCTAATGAAGAATTTTATCAATAATTTACCAGAATGTGACTATGCTATTTGTTGCCATGGTTTAACAGAATTTGAGGAATGTTATCAAAATATTTTCAATTTTACAAGGTTATTAATGAATAATTGAATATTTTAAATCTTGTTCAATTGTATTTTGAAATTAGCGCCACAAACCCTCATTCATAGTATTTAAAGTAATATATTTTTTTACTTGGTTAAAATAAACATTAGTTGTTTGTTTGTTTTCTATTTAAATAATTTTATTTTGCTGGTTTGAGAATCACTTTTTTATATTGGTCGATAAAGTTTGCGTGCTCATATTACTCTAATCAATGGCATCATGCTCCTGATAATATTTATGGAAAATTTAAATGCATTTTCAATGAATCTGACTTGCACGGAAAATTCTTTGAATTTTCTAAAATATAATCCGTACTGTATCTTTCTTTAAAATTCCCGAAGGTTCTTCCTACCAGGTGCAGCTGCATTTTATATTTAAAGTTTAAAAAAATGGATACAGGGAGCAATTATCATAACCTTTTAAGACTAACAGCATTTTAATGAAATGTAAATACTTTTCAAAAATTTTATTGCATAGTATTTAATTTTGTAAGTTTATATCTAATTTTCTGAAGACTACACTACGGATTAAATAAACTGTGTGGATAGTGTTTAGTATTTCAAATTCTTTTAATATTATACATATTTTATTTTTCTGAACTATACGTTTCCTTTTATCAAATACTTACCCAATTCATTTTTTATTATTTCACCTTCATAATATTTAATTTTGTAAATTTTTATCTAATTTTCTGAAGACTACACTACGGATTAAATAAACTGTATGGATAGTGTTTAGTATTTCAAATTCTTTCAATATTATACATATTTTATTTTTCTGAACTATAAGCCTTCTTTTATAAAAAAAATTACCTAATTTATTTCTGCAACTACAGAAATCAGAATTTTTTCTGAAGATTCTTTTTATTTATTTGGTAATTGAAAAATCCACTTTTTACTTTTCAAGTACTGCAATTACTGCGCAAAATACTTAAAGTATACGTATATGTACGTGTAGCAGTAATCTTATTAAAAATTTAATTATTGATACTTCAAGGCTAACTTTATCATTAAGTACAATTTTTATAATCAATAAATGATCAAGTACGTATTGAATTGGAAACAATCACTATAAGCAGTTTTTGAAGAAGTCATATTATTTTTAATAAGATCCAATTTTTTTTATTTTTTTCCATGTTTGTTTTTCAAAATTTTCATTTTCATCACCGTTAAGTGTGTCGAAATGAATAATCAAGTGCCTTCATATTGAATTATAAACAATTACCTATGCTGCTATTAATTTGTTACAGTTTCATGAAATTTTTACTAATTCTGCAAAGTCTATACTATCTTTTTTCATATAGATCCCATTTTATCAAATTTTTTTGCTCATTAAACTGATTTTTTTATTCTTGTTTTCTTCTAAATCTGATGTTTACCAATACATTTTGCTTTTCTTCTTCTTCTATTCAAATTCTATTTAAATGTCACCCAACAGTTTAAATTCTCTGGTTATTGCCAAGAATCGATATGAGGATCTCTGGCGTTTTTCAGCCACAACTTTGAAAATAACAAATCACTTTCGTTTTCCACATTTCGTTTCTTGTTTCAAAATTGTTATAAATGAAGTACGTTTTTAAAACACATGATTTTCATTCAATTTCATATTTCCATTCCTTGAGTCTAAAAATGATGATGCCCATTAGAAGCATCTATTATATAGCACTTGCTAATTTTATTGCATAAATTATCCGCCTTGAGCAAAAGTACATATCGAAGTGTCTGTTTCCTTCAAAAACCTGCCATAACCTGTTACAACCTTTTGCTGGTATTCTCTTGATAATGTAAAATCCAGATTTTTATTCCTACCTCAGTCACGATATGTGAATTGCTGCAATGCAATAAATCTTCTCGTCTTAAAGATGAAGGATGCTTAATTTATTTATACCTAGGAAAAAATAATAAAAAACATGGAAATGATTCGCTGGAATGATCACTGGACTCATGTTGTAATATTCAAAAACATAACCTTTGTTTCGATTCCATCTACTGGAAATCGTACATTGATACTCCTTAATTCAAGTATTTTTTCATTCCACTAATTTTTATATTACAATTTCTAGTTTATTAAGATATCTATACAAATCAATCTAAATTCTTGAAGCACTTGACATAGTAATAACTATGTTTGCAACTAATCCAGCAAATTTTTGGTGGTACTTCAAATGTCTAAATAGCATGCCAACCCAGTGACTGGGCGTCCGGGTGTGAGCAGTATTAACATAATCATAAAAAAGCAACCACAAATCACTTCAATATATTTTGCCAGAATCGATATCAGATATTCTTGAGGTGTCATTAAATTAATCAATCACTTTCCTTTATTTATTAGCAGAGATTGTTATGTAATATGAAGTCAAGTACCTATTATATATAATACGTAGTAGATGTGGTCAATAATATTTCTGATCAAATGCTTAAGGAATTTGCTAGTTATGGGTTTATGATAAATAAGTGTAATGTAAATAATATTTTCGTATTATTTATAGTAGTAAATGTCAATAAATGCTTCGAGTATAGGTAATTAGTCATAATTGAATTGGGCAACTACTGGGTCGCCATCCATCCAAAAATCCATCGTCAATTCTATTGCTGACTAAAATGTTACTTACAATTAGAAACTGTAACTTTTCTTCTCGTTGTCTCAAGAGTATTAATTATCATCAGTCTTTCTATTATAATTTATCTATCAAATTACCAAATTGAGGTCTCAATGTGTTCAAATGTTCTTTGTTCCGCAATAAACACGTCGTTACAAAATGACACGTGCTGTTTTTGAATCTTGCATGTCATTAACTAGTTCTACAAAACAAATCTGGTATAATGCTTGCTCGATCTTTGTATTATGAAATTTATTGCGCAAAATTAACTTACAAAAAGAGTAGTAGCATTTGAAATACTCGTTAATATTTGAAGGTCATAGTAGGAGAAAAATTTGGTGAATTGATACTGGGTTGGATCACATTATCCTCCACAAAATTTGGCAAATTGATACTGGGTTGGATCACTTTACCTAGCAAAATAGTTTTCCATTTTTTTTATAATTTGCGATGTATTTTTTTGCAAGGCAATATTTTTCAACTTTGCACTGGCATCATGCTATATTATTATTGTGATTATGATTATATCATAATAATGACATTGCAATCCACTCACTCACCGAGTATTTTCATTCGTGTGATCGAATACTCTGATAATGTGGTGGCTGATGTTAATCTGAGAGATATGATAGACCAGGATTCAACAATGTATGCTTTTGTAAAAAAAAAACAAAGAAAATACTACTAATTGACCATTGGATACTTCTGCAATAAAACGTAGTTATTTTGATGATGGCCTTCCTAGTAAGGCCTTTTTACTAATCAATGAATAATACAAGATTGGTCCAGAACTGTTACAAAAAGATTTTATGAAAAAATTCAATGAAATACTTCAAATTGACAATTGGAACCATAGGGTTTGTTTTCGCAATTGAACGAAGTTAACTTAATGATGGCCTTCCCAGTAAGGCTGTTTTACTAATCAATAAATGGTATAAGATTGATCCAAAATTGTTACAAAAAAATGAGAGAAAAATCATTGAAAATACTTCAAATTGACCATTGGAACCATTGGGTTTTCTGCTGCAATGATTGTAATTCTCTTGGTGATGGCCTTCCTAGAAAGACTTATATTGATTAGTATAAGTCTTTCTAGAATGGTACACGATTGGTACAAATTTTTTTATAACAATTTTAAAGCTAAAAATCAAAAATTAGTTTTGCTCCTTTCTTTCTTTTCTTTGACGGTGAATTGTGTTCATTTCTAAATATTTGTTCAACTTTTTATATACTTGCATGATTTTTGCAATCAGCTTCATTATAAGCCTTTAAAATTCCTTATTTTAGCATTTATAAACCGTT